GCGGTGTTTCTGGTGTTTGCGCGCAACCGAGCGGTCGCGTGACCTCCTCGGTTGTAAATGATACGAGAATCGAACACGAGCATCGCCGCCGCCGCGTCGATAGGCCGTGGAAAAGGAACGATGAAACGGCGCGTGGACGACGTGTGGATGACTGGCGAGAGATCGAGATCATGAACGGATCAAACAAGGATCGAGAAGAGAATTCTCGACGAGGGAGAATCGGAAACTCTCGAAAGCGGTACGAATCGTGGTTGAACGCGTGTGTCAAAGGGAAGAGGAGGAGGAGGAGGAGGAGGAAAAGAGGAGGCGCGTGCGAACAGGTGCACGGTGCGTAAAAGATGTGCACGGCCGAGCCGTTGACCCACTCGCGACCGGGGAAATAATCGTGTGGCGTCGAAATTAATTGGCTGCGTCGAATTAACATTCCCAAGAGGAGGAACACGTACGGCGGAATTGGAAACAGCGGGAAGGAGAAGTCGGCATCTGCGAGAGATTCGTCCGTTTTTATGGACATGTTGGGGGAGAAAAAAATTCTTGACATCTCACAGACGCATTCCAGACGCTCGGCATACAAACGCGAGAGACGCGTAAAATCGTAAAGAAGCCAGGAGGGAACGCGTGTGATTTCTTTCTCTTCGAATCCGATCGGGTCGGGAAAAACAATCGCGCCCGCACTTTTGAAATTACGTAACCTCGTTTCTTGTCTCGATGAAAAATTCCACGATGTTGATCTTTCGCGTGGTTGAAAAAGCCAGGTACGAGATTCTACGCGTCCTTCGAACACCATTTCGGCGGACTCGAGTCTCTCTCTCTCTCTCTCTCTCTCTCACTCACTCTCTCCACGCGTCGGCCACTATTCTGTTCGATGACTATCCTGTTTTTCCTTATCTGCTCTCTCGAGAATGCGACTCGAAGCACGGCGTAGAGAGATCGTATTTTCGAACTAGCCGCGCGACTTATCGTCAATACACCACTTGTACAATCAAAGGCGTGTACGCATGCATTATAAAGAGATCGAGAAATAGAGAAAGAGAAATGGAGAGGGGGGAGGGGATCGGAAGGAAAAGAAGGATGAGGCAGCAGAAGAGGAGAGGAGGAGATGAAGAAGGCGAAGTAGGAGGTTAGCGAGAGAATTTCACGAGGAGGAGAGGAAGGAGAGGAAAGGAGGAGAAAGAAATTTATTTTTACGACTACGACGTTTTGTTTCTTCACGAGCGGCGTGTATCTTCTTCTCTACGCCGAGACGACACGACGAGAGAGAAAAGTTGGGATTAAAAAGACGCGCGGGATGATATTCATACATACATATACATATATACATACATACATACATATATATATATAAGTATAAATCGAAGGTGGGTTGGTTGGATAGAGGTCAATACGGAAATTCGATATTCGTCACGGCTGTTCTCGACGATCGGTTGACTGGTCACGGGGTCCCCGAAGGAAAGCTGCGATATCGGGGAACGGCGAGAGGTATCGCGACTGGCGCCATACAATTCGAAACGAGGACGTTCCAATTTTACGAGGAGTACGTGGAAATGTTTTTATTGTCCCGGTCCGGAATGATGATCGCGATTCTTGCATGTTCGGCCACGATGGAACGACGATGTGCGATTTTTCTCTCTCTCCTGCAAATTTTTAAAAAACACGACCAGTTTCTAACGAAACGACCGCCTTTATAGATCGTATTTTGCGTGAGCGAATTTCATAAATAACGCGACTACGCAGATTGTTCCGTTCGTGTAGAGCAGTTGCACGGCTGCCTCATCGCGTTGACAACGCGCGACGCGATCAACAACTTAATGAAACCACCACTACTCTTCTCGGTGCACATCGGAAGGCTAACGCGCATGCACGAGACGTCCAACGAGTGTGTGCACCTCTCTCGAGGAGGTATGATACCGGCGTGTATGCGAGTGTACGAGAGTGGCGAGATTCGTGCCGCTCGCACGGTTTTATCCATCATACAGTCCTGTTCTCTCGATCACGATTCCGAGAGTAGCCGTGGAATTTCTCAGAAGACCGTCTACAGTTCGCGCCAACAGTTACGCACATGCGTCCATCATACGGCTCGCGTATCGTAGGCGTTCGTTCGAGTTAGTTCGAGAGCGGCGACGATGACGATCCTTCTCCCGTTCTCTAGCCAAAATACACGCGAAAGAGGAGAGGAAAAAGAAGCTGCGAACGTGACCGATGAAATAACATTTTCTATCCTCTTCCAGCTCCGGCCACCAACGTTCGAAAGACGCATGAATATTTAGTTATTCAGATATTAGATCAACACTAGTAAATGCGCCACGTCAAATGTCCTTGCTTCAAACTTCATAATCGACTCTGGCGCGCGATTGCAAAGCAACGTCCAACGTCAGCGAACACGTTTCTGATGCAATCCGGGATAGTCGACTAAAAGACATCTGAATTTTTAAATTGTTTCCGTGTTGGGTCCATTAACGTAACCAAGAAGTAATGGGCGTGTTACGGCCGAGCCGTATCAATGTCACATTACGAAACTGAACGCGCCACCGCGAGTGTGCTGCGTTTTAAACCGCGACAACTTCTTTGTGCCACTTACCTGGTGTAAATCTATGGGCACGATTTTCCGAGTCGACCGGCAAGCAGTTAGAGGGTAAACCCGTCGCTGTACACGTCCTATGAGCTACCAGACCGCAATCTATCGAAAGAGGGAAAGAGAAACAAGACATGATTATATAAAAAGTAGAGCAAACGAAGCAAAACACGATTAAACCGTGTCCCAAAACTTTAATCGACGATCGAATGATAAGCGAGACAAGTTAGACAACTAAATCTAATAATATCGTTAAAATAATCGCGTTTCTCAACTTCGAATATATATGGGGGAAATTTGGAGCGTATATACGAACGTTGCTTTAATAAGAAGTTCGTCGAAAAAAAAAAAAAAAAGAAAAAGAAAAAGAAGAAGAAAAGAA